AGGCCTACATACAGAAGCATGGGTGATGGATTATTAACAGAAAATGAGTGATTCCCCAAACAACTGCACCAGAAGAGTCCTGGAGTTGGACTTTTCTTTGGGCCTCCAGCTCACAAAACAAACAAACAAACAAACAAACACGGAAACTCCTATTAATTATGGAAGTTCAGCCGATAGCTTAGGCTTGTTTCTAACTAGCCCTTAGCAGTTAAATTAGCCCATGTGTATTAATTTACTTTCTGCCTTGTGGTTTTATCACCTCACCTTTGTAGTGCCCATCCTGTTTGCTCTGCATCTTCTGGCATTTCTGCCTTCTTTCCCCCAGCATCCTCTCTTCCCAGAAATCCTGCCTAGCTATTGGTTGTTCAACTTTTTATTAAACCCATCAGAGTGGGTTTAATAAAGAATAATTGTTTAATAATGAAGATTAAACACATCTTCACAGTGTGCAGATAGATTATCCCACGGCAGAGTCCCAGTGTAGATGATGGCTTTTCCCCAGCTGTAGAGAGAGACATCCACTTCTGGTGATCTTTCACCTCCATATACTCTAGTCCCTCCAGAGACCTCATGCAGCTGTGACAGAATTAGCTGCAGCTCAGATGGGACTGCAAGAGGGAGGGAGGGGTGACTGAAATCTCAGCTACGGGTCTAATGACCCTTCCCACCCTCTCTATCAGGCAACGTCAGCAGATCCAGTCTTGAGGGCCATTGCATTCCCTTCTGATTAAGAAGAGAACGGCTACTATGCTCAGAGGATGGTGTTCTACAAAACTTCATCCCTCCCTCTGGTTCTTCCCTTCTTTCCTCCTCTTCTTATGAGCTATTCCCTGGAGTGGGTGATGTGCAACTCTGATTATTTCCTTCTCTTTGTGGTTAAGCTACGGACAGCAGCAGTGGCTTGTTCTTCCACAGTTTGACTGAATGGAAATCCCCGTCGTCACTTCTTCCCACTGTAAAGCAAATCAAAACTCCCCTCCATGTCTCTGGCTGAAGACAGACATACTTTATAACCAGAAGCACAAATACTTAGAAGGAAGCTCGACAGCCATATTGTTCCTGTTTAACAATAGTGGCAGCTTCCCTGCTACAACCTTTGACCTCCCCAGTCATAGTCTGGGCTGGTCATCCAGGCTCACAATACTGGATGTGAAGTCCCTGATGAGACCAAATGAGAAAATAGTTGGTTGCTCCCATAACAATCGTGCCACTACTAAACTAGTGGGCCCTTCTTGTCTGGCGTATTGACAGTATAGTAAGCTTGGTCTGCAGCTCAGCTCAGTAGAACTGTGACAATTTACCCTCATCAGGCCGTAGAGTGTCTTCTGTCACTATAAAAGCAAGCAAGCAAGAAAGGAGCTTCCAACTTTATCCAAGCTTTATTTCTCTCTGTCCTACAACCAAAACACAAGGTATCCTTATCACTAAATGGGGATCCTCCCATATAGTTCTAGTAAGCAGCTACCAGCAGCAGCAATAACCTGTATTGTTTAGGAAGAGCCTTTGGGAAACCCCTGACTAAGAAAGACCTTGTAGGGAGGCAGCTGCCCCCTAATGATAGAATTTTTATTCAAATAGCTTTCTGCTTCTGGGAATCTCTTTTTCCTCTCTTTCAGGGTATGTTTTGTTCAAATCCTTTTTTCCAGTCCCTACAGGTAGATGGAAGTACCCTGGAGCTGGTTGTCCTCAGTCAGGCTTTGTCATATGCCCTTCCATATCTGCTATCCCTGCTGTGGCCAATCCATTACCTGCCAGTTTTCTCTTTCCATTTAGGAGGTCATCCATAAAGCCAGACCTCTGAGAACAGTCCATTTGTTGGCACAGACAGTCACAGACCAAAATTCATGACTTACTACTGCCCTAACCCAGCCCTCTAGCTACTCTTTCTTTCTCCTGTCTCTTGCTACATGGTGTCTATGTTCATTTGCATTATGACAGCTATGTCCCTGTCTGGTATTCTTCTTACTTGTGGTACTGGTAGGCCTTTAAGAGGATGGTTATAGTGTCCCACCCAGTACCTTGTCTTGTTTGGGCTGCTGGTTCAATTCATAGAGGGAGGTTCAGTGACTTGAATGCAAATGGCACTGGGAATGGCACTGTAGACACCACATCATATGGTAAATCTGCATACCATAGCCTGTGTAGAATTCAGTTCTATACCACCTTCCAAAGGAGGTTTGGCAGAAATATCTTCAATCCCACGCTTAATTGGACAAGCTGATTTTGCTCGTGGAGCCAGTGGTAGAGTCTGTATTGCACTCTATGTGTCGCTAGCATTGCTGTTCTCATGCCCTTTCCGTCACTGGATGCCATTCTAGTCCTCTTTCCAGCACTGTGTCATTGGGTTCTTTCTGCCACAGCCCTCAGCTGTGTCCCCTGAGTTTCTACCAACTTCCAACACAAGAGAGCACAGGGCTATCTGGGCACAGAACTGTTTAGCCTGTAATATACTTATTGTAACTCAAAGTCTCTTGAGCCTTTCTGTCCTAATCTTACATGGAACCTCTTTTTTTCTTAAATCAAATTTTACAAAGAATCCACTTACGCAGGGAGAGTCTGAAAGTGTACTGGTACCTTGGGGGCACCCCAAACACCAGCAGTATGCTGATATACTTTGGGGGCTCCCCAAATACCAGCAGTGTGCTGATATCTTGGGGAAACCCCAAACACCAGCAGCATTTTATATTCACAGACATGGAATACCATAGGATTTTCTCCATAACCTGACTCTTAAGAATTTCATTGCCACGCCTGACCCCTGCACATGGGTAAACTGATACCCTATCCTTGTCCTTTAGGGCCTTACATATATCTCAGACCCTTTTGTAATGGTAAGGCTCAGAGGTTAGCGCGATATAAACAAAGCCTTTTTCCAGAGAGGGGGCCACAGTGCCATACAAGCCCCACCCAGAGGTCCCTGCTGACTTAACTTTCATCTCAAGTCTCTGGAGAAACAGTCCTCTCCTGCTCAGTGGACAGATTCCTCACACACTGCTAGTCCATGCCCAGCATCCTCAAAGCCATTTCTACCTCAGTTTCTCCCCTCATTGCCTGATTCTTCCTATGTGGTTCAAGTTTTAGTACAGATCCAATTAGCTCTCTCTTTTCCTTGTGCCCCCCCCCCGCCAAGCAATAAGAAACGGTAAGCCAACACCTCTATCTCAGCTTTTGTTCTCTCCATCTTTTCTAAGACAGTTTTACATTTTTCTCTCCATTATCCACTCTTCCTGACAATTTAAAAGCAGGGTGAAGGTTGGCATCTACATTTTATTTTCAAACTATAATTCTTTCCAACATGGGCAAGTTCTTTTTGAGCAGACAGCTGAGTCTCAGTTGTATGTCCTGTCCCTCCCAGCAGCAGCAGTGAAATCTGCCAAACAGTCTGTCCCGCACATACCATACGCTGATGTTCGGGGACTTCCGTGTATTTTCTGGTTCATCAGGCATTCTAAGGCAGTCCCTATATGTGCTCCCTATTGGAGCATGTTTGTCAAGGGGGTATACCAGCACATATGACATAAAGGAAGATAGCCCATCAGGATTTCTTCAATGGTGTGCCCAGACTCTCCCCAGGACAGATAGCTCAGACAGTCTCAGTAGCAGTCTTATCACCAATAGCAGAGCCACTGCATGTGCTGCTACAGCAGAGGCACACCGTTCCACCACATGAAGAGCCATCACACTAGGATTGCCCTCCCAAATGCTCCACCCTTAGAGAGTTTCAATTACATGTCTCATTGCGCAGAACAAAAATTACAGCTACTCCTCCCAAAATAGTGCCTTAGCAGGTCAATGCCTCACACTATCAGAAGTTTGATCGAATTAGAGACAAACATGCTCATGTCTGGGGTGCTGGGCTGTTTGTTGAGGCTGTAATTGCAGTGCAGGACTTAGCTGCTGGAGCTGGACTTTTCACAGGACACCCCAAAGGGAAGTAGCCTGGGAAAGAAATAGGCAACGAATAAACCTTCTCTGTGAATATAGCCAGCTCACTAAACTGTGAAGATCCAAGGGGTAGAGATGCAGACCCCTCAGCAGAAGTGTCAAGTAATCAGGAGCTGTGTTTTTAAATCTTCACACAGATTGAAACACTGTTAGCCATTTTAGTGATGGATGCTTTCAGGGATATATCTAACAGCTATGTGAAGAGCAATCCAAAGAGTTGGGGCATAGTGTGGCATAATCCTTCCCGTCATTTAGGAGGCCAAGGCATGAAGATTGCAAGTTAGAGGCTAGCCTGAACTGCGTAGGAAGACTTTGTCTCAAAAAAAAATCAGAAAATAGACAAAGAAGAACATTTCATAGAAATTTGAAGTCCCTTGAACTTTCATAGCTTATACATGAAAGAAATTATTAGGTTCCCTCCCCCAGTGGAGGGTATATGTAGGGTTTCCCCATATTGGACAGTTCTAAGACATCAAATAGAACCATCCACTATGAGGCTGTGAGCTCTGAAGTAAATACTTTCTCTTGATTTCTATTTATTTATTTAGAAATAAAATTACATACATTTATATCTTTATCAGTCCTAAAACCTTGAAATTAAAAAAAAAAACTTTTCCAAAACCTCAAAGTTATTCTGTTCAACCATCCTACAAGTAAGATGGAGTAATGGCTTTGTGTTTTCTCTGTAAATAAGATCACAAATACTATCATATGAAAAGGCAATAAAGCCACGCAGTCAGGAGAGCGCCAGTGTTTCAGACTGGTGCATCACCTGAGCTCCTTAGTAACAACCTACACACAACGAGTCAGTAATTTATAACAATCAAAGGCCCCAGTGAGCAAGAGCAGTCCAGGAAAGCTTCAGGGGAAAGATTAGATTTCAGTTGGCTGGAGAGCAGGGGCTGGCAGCGGGGCTAAATCAGCCAGTAAATCCAAGTCGGCAGTTATACATTACCACCACCTGACTGGTCCAGCCTCTATCCTGATTGGTTAGAGCCTGCCAGAGCAGTTGGTCAATGTTTTGCATATTTTCTGTGTCAGTTAGAACAGACAATATCTGTCAAAGCACCAAAAGGAACAATCTTGGCTCATCCATCCAAAGGTGAGGATTGGCTTCAGTCCAGCTGGGGCAGATGTGGGAAGAACAGTTGTTTACACTCTAGTAATCAATCGTGAAGGAAGCTATGAATGGTGAGCAAAGGAATCTATCCATTATCTTGCAAGCAGAGGAGGCTGTTGAACCTTCTCAGGAACATAGAATTAACATTTTTATTGTAACTTAGGAATGCTTACCAGAATAACTACACCAGAAGAAATGAGGAAGATATTTTCAAGGCATTATTGTAATAATCCAGGCATGGGTTATCAACTATGGATTGGAAGAATAGAAACTGGGGCTTGAGGGTTGCATTGGTTGCTTTTCACAAAAGTACCTGGCCAAAAGCAACTTAAGGAAGGGTGAGGTGTTTGTTGTGGCTGGCCCTTTGACTCACCATTTTGTACTGACGGGGAGGCGTGGTGCTGGGAACAGAAAGCAGTCCGTCAGAAAGCAGAGAGAGGTAAGCGCTTGTGTTCATCTGGCTTGCTTTATTCCTCCTTTCTATTCAATGTGGGACTTGAGCCCATGGCATGGTAATGCCTAAGGATAATTTGCTTTCCCTCAGTGAAGTCTTTCTGAAAATACACTCATAGACATGCCCAGAGCTGTGTTTTCTATAATTCCAAATCCTGTTAGTTGACAAGATTAATCATTAAGTAAGAAGCCCACCGCCTTAACGCAAGTCTGATACAGTTATGTTATAATAGATTGTATATCGAATACATATACTCATGTGCTCCTGTTAAGTTGCTCTGAACCCCTCTTTTCTGCCACTGCAGTAGTAGGCAGTTCTAGCCGAGCAGCCTCATGCTAGGGACCTGAGACTGTGTACTCTCTGATTTCTCCACTGCAGAGGCAATGCACTTGACACACAGGACTGCCGATATCCATGGAGTAACTGTCGACCACTGAGAATAGGAGCCTGGAAATAAACGGTTTCTCCATCCCATAGTGCTGAGATTTATTTCAGAGCGCTTCCCAAAGTCCCTATGGGATCTAGGCGGTCTGTCTTCGGATTTAGAGTGGAATGTGTTAAAAGCTTGGTCCCAGATTGACACTACAAGATTATGGAAGGCTTGAGCAGTGGGACCTAGTGGGGGCTGGGAAGTGCTGGTTCCCCAGCTTCATCTGCTGTGTGCACCCACAGCGTTTGCCAGGAGGTGAAACTCTCAGCAGTGTAAGACAAAGTAACCCTCTCCCCTTACAAGCTGATCACCTCGGGCATGTTGTTGTAGTCAGGGAAGCTGACTGACTGAAATGCAGTTTCTTGGCAGCGTGGGGCATGGAGGTATTGTCTCTTATTAAGTTAACACTTCTGTGATCTTATCTTTAGAGGAAACAGAAGGCTGTGATTTCATCTGGCCTGTAATATGGTCGCTCAACATTGCTTTCTTTTATGTGGCCCATGCTTTTTATTTTAGCTACCCCAGCACCAGGGTAGACCTTGACTGCCTTACCTGAAGAGACCATTGTCCTGGCCACAGTGAGTAGACAAAGCAAGGAGAAATCAGTCAGGAGATCCAAGTCCAAAACTCTTAAGTAATCAAACAAGACAGCATGTGGGCCCTTTCTGGCTAGAATCATCTTATGGATAATGAGTCCCAAACTGTTTCTGTTTCCACAGAAAGGAAGGGGGTTACTAAACTTCTGAATGAAACCTCATGCGTATCCCAGATAGCCTCACATAGTTTCTGATAAGTGCATTATTAAGTATTTTTTTGAAGCCAGTTTGAGGCACGTTTCTCTGGCCTGCTTGTGGAAAGGCTCTCAACTGCTAGTGTGCACGCAGACTTAGAAGTTATAGGTCTATAAATCATTCCTGTTTGCTAGTTTCACTATTACTCACGTGGCTGTGAAGGGCCATGGAGCAGGTTGAGCTAATAGTCTTAATGCTTGTTTTGATTGTATCTTATAGAAAAAAATTTAAAAAAAAACACAAAAAACTAAATTCTTTGCCCACATTATGTTCAGAAACAGATTCCAACTAGAATATATAAGTGAAGAAACAAATAAAAATAGAAAACCCAGTTTTATATGTAAAATTCACAAGTCATCAAAGACTGCTAGAGACATAAAAATGAAAATGTAAAAATTCCCTATGTAAGTGAAGTTAAGGCAAACAACAAATGGGGAGAAACATTTGACGCTTATATGACAGATTAGTGTTATCTATGTATAAATCCTGGTAAATCAATAAGAAAAGAACAACTCTCAGTAGGAAAATAAGTAAGGATCTGGGATGCCGCTCAGCAATAGAATGCTTGCCTAGTACGCATGAGGCCAGGGTTCCATTCCCAGCACCACACACACACACACACACACACACGAATGAAAAAAACAAAAAACAAAAAACGGAGGGTGGTGGTAAAACGTGTGACCACAAAATTTAAGCAACATAAGACAAGAGACTAAATTTAAGGTCAAAACCAGGGTTACTGAGTTAATAGTGGGTACCTGTAATCACAACTAATGGATATTAAGCACCAGAAGATTACCTCAGAGGTGTATAATAATGACTATTACAGGATTTAAAACATCAACAGTAAGATGGGGACCAAATACATTGAAGCAATTTTCAAAGATCAGGTAGAACCTTCAGTTTTATCATGAAAACAGGTATCTGTTGACGGAAGTAATCAACATATAGAATAATTCCATTCACATTAAACTACATACTAGCATATACATCAAAGTCTGTGAAGAAAGCCCAATTTATTAATAATGGTTCTCACATTTAAGATCACTCAGAGATCATTTTACAAAACTGCCAGAATATTTTACCAAGTGCCAAACTAGTTTCATTTTATAATAAATGAACAAGTCTGGCAGAAATCCAGGCTAGGAAATCTGTACTGGGAGCAGTCATTTTGGGGAGAGGAAGACAAAGAGCTGTGAAGAGAAGGAAGGAGAAAAGTCTCCCTTTCCTGGAAAGTTGGAGAAAAGAATCTTCCTCAACCAAGAAACCAGGCATGGAGAAGCTTCGAAGGGATGTCCTGATGAACGGAGATGGGTTTTACTCTGACTGCCTCCCAGCACGAGTGCCTGCCACAGAGGCTCAGAACTGGCTTCTTGGAAAGTGTGAGCCGTGGTTCCCAGGGCTTTGCCAGGCTCTGTCTGTGAGGGTCAGTGACTTCCTCCTCCTCGATTGCCATCCCAGGGTTCTTGCACCCTCAGCCCTGTTGGATTGACCTTTTGGACTGAGTTGATAACACGCCAGCACTGTTGTGAATGGACAAAGTCTAATTAGATTGACACTGTAAGCTTGTGTCTCCCGCTCCTGGAACTGGAGCTTGGAGTCTCTGGTTAATAAGCCCTGCTTCCGGAAGGCGGTGTGTGATGCTAACAAACAGACCGTGGCTTCTCTTTATCCTTGTCTTGTGGTGAACTTAAAATTTGAGTTGTGGATTTGAGTTGTGAATCCTAATCCTATCCAAGTGGAAGGGGCCGGAAAGTCTCAGCTTGCAAGAGTACAGATGGAAAACCAACCAACTAACCCTGAAGCTTAAAATAGTCATGTGACCTCCCTAAACAGCAAATTTGCTTTACTGTCAGTATGAGAACCTAGTATGGCCATCAGGGGTCTCAGGCCTCAGGCAACACTACTTCCACTCTGCCATGCTTCGTCTCTGGTTGCCAGGTGCAGAAGATCAGAGCCTCGTGGATTTGGAAAGCGTGAACTTTGGCACTTTGATTCTAAATAGAGCAGGAAGACGTGGCAGGGAATATCTTTACCGTGACACCTGGAGTTGCCAATATCAACAGCATCACAGAGTCACGCACTCAAACAGTGTAACATTTCTTTATTCAGTCACCAAATATCATTGATGCTGTTAACCCTCCAAGTCCTAAAGCAGGAAAACAGAAGTGCCGCAGGAGCAAGGGGTGGGTGACCTAGTTCAAAACCATCTGTGACGAACCATCTCAGTTGTCAACTTGATAAATAAATTGAGAAACACCTGGGAGATTATAAAGCACACTGTGCCTGTGTGTGTCTGTGGTGACATTCCCAGAGAGATCCCTGTCAATATTCTACTGGGTAAAATTTCTTCTGTTGACACTATGAGTTCACAACACACAGAGAAGGTACTGTCTGTTTTTAGAAATTTCAGCAATGTGGTTGTAGTGGTAGATCAGTGGCACAGAGATTGTCTGCCTTGGGTGATGACCTGGGTTCAATCTCTAGTGAAATTACCTGGCGCGAGTGAGAAGGAAACACAGAACACGCAACAAACCCACTTAGGAGTTTATGGGGAAGTGTACAAGCCTGGTGAGGTCAGTGTGCAGAGAGAGAGAGAGAGAGTTTGAAGATGGAGCATCCAGCTTTTAAAGGCCTCCTAGCACATGCGCACAGGGAGATGACATGGCTATGTCATACGCAGATGACGGATCTCATGCATGCGTGCAAGGGCTCATGCAGCTGCGTCATACATAGATGATGCAACCATGCTGCGAGTGGGTTATGTGGGGTCCTTTAAGATTCCTGGGGTCATTAGAAACTTCTGCCTGAGGGTTTGTCCAACATGTGTGGCCCTGGAACCCAGAAGTGTCAGCCAGAGAGAAAGAGAGAGAGAGAGAGAGAGAGAGAGAGAGAGAGAGAGAGAGAGAGAGAAGGAGGGAGAAACAAAGATAGGGAAGAAAGGATTGATTGTGGTGGCAGACTGGTTACCTAAAATTGCCAATTCCGAAGGAAGTTCAGCATTTATTTAGATGGGAATTTCAAAACAATTCTAAAATAACTCAAAGTCGGCCATAAATCTAAATGGGAAACTACAAAACTTTTAGAAGAGCTCATAAAAAACCGATTTTATGACCTTCGTTTAAATACCAAAAACATGATCCATAAATAGATAGCTGATAAATTGGACTTCGTCAAAATTAAAACTGTTTTTCTTTTTCTACAAAGGACATCTACAAGCCTAAAAGACAAGCTAGAAATCCTTGCAGGTCACATGTCACATGAAGGAATTATACACAGACAACAGGAACTCTCAAAACTATCAAAT